ATATAGCAATGGGGGATGGACGTGTAGGGTGTTGGGCTATAAAAATGTAGAAGCTATAAACAGTGTCCATAACGAGCCATAAAGTCCAAGGCTGCAGCAGATCGCGATAAGGAGAGACCTCACCTGTACATCCTGGGAGCCGAGGCAGGAGGAGGTCACTGCACAGAGACGCTGTGGGCATGTTGGTGCGTTGCCTGCTGGAGGTGCCCAGTGGGGCAGAGAGGAGATGCCTCCAGCTATGTCTCTGCCGAGGGCTGGTAGGCCCATCTGCCTACCCTTCAACCGGGGACCTGTCCCCTCGTAGTATCCCACTTGGAGTGCTCCCCATGGCCATGCCATGGATGGGGTTTGTGGGAGCTGCTTTGCTGCTCTTGGCAAGCGCCTCCTGGGGAAGGAGGGTCAAATTTGGCATGGGCCAAAACTCATGTCTGCTACGTGCAAGGGTGGAACCCAAGAGTTTCCTCTTGGTGCTGGGCTGGGAGGTGAAGAGAAAGGGAGATTTAGAGGAAGGGATAAATAGTCCAAGATGAAGGGGTGGGAGCTTGGTGAGCTGGGGCTCAGTGGAGGGTGGAAAAGAGCGGGGTGAATGGGGACAGCTATTTTTGGGGTCCAAACTCACCTGAGGCCATGGGGTAGCCCTGACCAAGGCCAAGCCATGGTCTGCAGGCACTCATGAAAGGCCATGGGAATAAAGAGGGTGATGCTGTGCTACCTGCAACTTCTGAAAGTGCTCTTGGGGAAAGGGGTGGCTGAAAGACAACCTTAAAACCTAGAGACTCCCTGGGAAGAGAAACTGGGAAATACCTCTTGAGGTCCCCTGACCAGTCTGCCTTACCCCTTCCCAATGCAGTGATGACTGTGTGTAGGGACAGCTTGTGTCTTTGACCTGGGAAGGATGAGTCTGGGAGTAGGATCTAGACCATGGTGGGAACAGGGCTGTCAGGTTGAGCTGGAGAAAGGCCTTTGGAAATCTTTTGGAAGACTCTTTGGAAAGGCTATGGGCCTCAACAGACCCAACCAACCACCTGGGGGAGGCGATGGGAGAACAAAGCATTGAAAACTCAAGAGGTTGTAGCTTTAATTAGGGATCTTCCCGAGGTGAGATGTCCCCTTGCCCCATTGTGGACACAAGCCTCTTCCCCACACATGGAAATGTCCAGAAGGAGGGATGGAGGAGATTGGGAAGGAGAGAAGGAGGAAGATATGAAAGTTAGGTAGCTCTATGGGTCAAAAATATACAACACTGATATCATACATGGCCGTCAGTCCCCTCTGGTCAGCACACCAGGGCCGGGTGGTGGCTCTGTGCAGCCAGCCCTTCTCCGAGTCCCCCCTTCCCCATGGGGGGGGTCACTTCCGCCGCCCGATTTGGGCCATGAGGTGTGCATTGGCAGCAGCCTTTGCCCGCAAGTTCTTGGCTTTGGCAATATTGAAGAGGATGTTCATGATGTTGGTGGGGACATCAAGGGAGAGGGTGACCTTGGTGCGATGGTCGCTCTTGGCCCGATTCTGGTACGTCTTCCCCTTCACCTGCGCCTGGGAGACATATTTGTAATGGCCTTCTCCAGGGAACGTCCTTTTCCCCATCTCTTCATCCACTGCCTCCTGCCTCTCCTCCTCCTCAGATGCCTCGTCTGGCAGTGTGGAGTCGAAGCTGCGTTTGTCCAAGATGGCATTTTCCTCCGGGTAGCTCTTCTGGGCTTCAGCAAGGGCCGCATTGAGGCAGCTGAAGATGGAGGCGGCATTGTAGAGGCGGAGAGCCTGGCCGGTCTCAGCAGCGCACAGGAGGGCGAGGAGGAGCAGCAGCCTGGTGTGGGGCATTGCGGTAGCCTGCCTGGTGGAGAGAATGAAGGGAGGGTGGAGCTGGGCATGAGCACCATCATCCCCTTGTCCTCCCAAATCCCATGGTTCACCTCCCATGTTCCCCACAGGTCCCATCTAAGGGTTAGGTCAGATGGGAATGAGTTACCCTGGGGCCTCCTCCTCCAAGGTGCAACGCCTCAGCCCTTGGTTTTAGGGTGCTGAGCTGGAGGTGGGATGTCCAAGGTGCTTCACAAGGCTGCTGCCTTGCAGAGGAGGATTTGGCCATCCCTTTCCTGAAACACGAGTGCCTGCTGCAGGAGAGCTGGTTTCCACCATGACCTCTTCCCGGAGCAGTCTTATTGCAGTCACCATGCAGCCCTCTCCACCTTGCTAACACCTCCACGGAGTAACCCTGGGTACCACCAGCTGCTGTAAGGGTGGGCTTTCCTTTCAGGTCCTCTCTGGTCAGCCTGAAGCTACCAAAGACGTTCCTGTGCTCTCTGAAGTTGGCACTTGCTCATCTCACCCAACTTGGTCTGAAAAGGGCATGGAGAGTCGAGTACAACTGGCCTCTCTCCATCCCTGGCCTCGGGTGCTTCGCGGTTGCCCATTACCCCATGGCTCCATAACGAGGACCCCGACCACCCTGTTTGCAGGACAGGCTGCCCCATCTGATAGCACTTTTGGGGCACATTCCCCACTGTGGACAGCCCTTTCTGGGGACCTGGAGGCACTTGCAAAATCACAGCACAGCAGCATCACTCCCTGCTAGAAATATAGTCATTTTTGGGTATTGGGGAGGCTGAAAACCACAGGATAATCCTCCTGCTCTGCAAAACCTCCCCATCTCTGAGTCCTGCCTCTCTGAGAAGTGACCCATCTCCCTGTGTACACACCAAACTGCTCAAAAAGGCCATCTAGAAGGCCACAAAGGATCTCCCGATGGGGGTCTCTGCCCCTGTCGAGGTCAGACAAGTGTCCCCGAAGGCAGACGGGCTCTCCAAGTGCCTGAAGGCACGATGGCATTCCCAATCTTTGGGCCCCATCTTGTGGCAATCGCATCGCATGGCAAGCTCTGGGGACAGTCCCCAGTGGTGTGGGGACCTTGCCTGGGGCTGGGGTTTCACTGCTGGTTTGGGGCTGTGAGCTCCTAAGTTATTTCCCATGGGGATGGGAGTGTGGAGGGGCCAAGGAGGCTGGAGGAAGCCTCTGGGAAGATCTTGCCGAGCGGGATGGCTCCTGCGAGTCTCTGTGGATGTCTGTGTCTTGGGGGTCACCGCTGGGAAGGGAGGCTGTGCCTCGCTGGATGAGGGACATGTCCTCAAAAAATATATCGAAAATCAAATCACTTGTTCCCAAGTGCTGTCACCCTGGATCTGCTCTTCTGCTGCTGAGCCGTGGCCCTGAAACTGCTATCACCTTAACTCTGCCCTTTGCTGTCCTGTGGCGGGGAGATTGGGGCAGGTTTGTCCCCATAACTCTGCTCTTTGCTGGCCCTTGGAGGGAAAGATTGGGGCAGGTTTGTCCCCTTAACTCTGCCCTTTGCTGTCCCTTGGAGGGAAAGATTGGGGCAGGTTTGTCCCCTTAACTCTGCCCTTTGCTGGCCCTTGGAGGGAAAGATTGCAGCATGTCTTAAAGGCAGAATTTGGGGGAGACACTCAATTTCCACTTGCCCCTGCACAGAACCCTACAGAGCTCCCCCAGACAACAACCGTCCCCTTAACTCTGCCCTGGGTCCCGACGGGAGAGGATGGACGTGCCGCAGCCATGGCACTATCCAGGCAGCACTGGCAAAGCTGCCGCTGTGGGATGAGGGAGGAAAACCTGTCCTGGGAACACAACCCCCATGCGAGAGCAACCTGTGGCCCAAAACTCTCCCTCCTTCAGCCCCAGATCCGATATTTAAGTCCCGGGATTTAGTTTTTGATTGCAAAAGCTTAACAGGACAAACATGTTTCACCCCAAAACCTCCCTCTTTGCAGCTGCATTTCAGCTCCAGATGAAGCAGCCCCCTCCCCAGCAAACTCCTAGCAGCCCCTTCTAACACGACGAGGGACTCAGGGTATGAATTTAGAAATTGCTAAATTTCTAAATTTAGCAATTTCTCACCCCTGCCTGCAGCCCCTGCTCTCCCAGGGACACGGTTTGGTCCCGAGCTGCTGGATGGAGAATGGGAATGTCCCTGAAAGCCCTTGCAGAGCCAGCACAGCTGTTGGGAGAGGACTGAGCTGGTTCGAGCTGCCGCTGCCCTCTCCAGAGCTGCGCAGCAGCATCTCCACCTCGTTTCTCCCCGACAACAATTTCATGACCGTCTGAAACGGGTGGCTTGGCCCCACGGCTGGCTCGGGCTTTTTCCACTCAGCAAAACTCTCTGGAAACCACAGCCAAGCTGAGGAGAAGGCAGAGCAAGGGGAAACACGGCTGAAATGCCTCTGCATCCAGCAACTGTTTTCCCAGTCCTCAGCTGTGGGGTGGATATCCTGGCAAAAAAAAAAAAGCAAAAATCAAGGCAAAGCAGCAAAAAAAATGCAGTGTCTGGCTGAGCTGGTCAGACAGCAAAAGCTGATATACTTGGTAGGACTATTATTTTTGCATGGGAGTTTTGTGCATCGGCATGCCAGAAAGGTTTTTTGGTCCTGAAAGCAAGCTGGAATTGGGTTTTCCTACCCTGCAAAAAAACCCAGGAAAATAAGGAAAACCACCTGCGGTGGATCTGAGGAAGTCGGAGTTAAATCTGCCGCTGCCGGGGGGTGACCTGCGGGTGCTGTTCGCTGCAGGTGGATGTTGCCGGGATGCCAGTGAGCAATTTACGGGCATTACATTGAGGTGGTGCCGACAGCCGTGGCAGGACCATTTGTATCGGCTGAAGATCTGCCTCTCGGCACTGGATTAAGCTATTTTTTTTCCCCATCAAAAAGTAAGTTTTGAATAAAATAATACCATGAATGAGATGTGTAGACTTTTTAAACTCTGCCTGACACTGAGTCCTCTTTCCTAATGAATCTCTCCTGATGGTGCTGATTCCCAGGGCTCCAAAATTCAAGCTGACCCAGTGGAGACGGGGCTGTGCCCTCCTCTCTTCCCCATCCCTTTAACCACAGCAGTGATTTGTCTCCCCACTTTTTGATTTCCCCAGAGTTGCAAACCCCTCCAGTGCTGCCCAACCTGATCTGCTTCCAAAAATTGTTATAATAATAAAAAAGATTTTTAAAAAAATTTCTTTGGTTAGGAAGGAGGGTGGGGGGAGTCTCTTAACACAGTATCTTGAACTGCTTTTCCCTATCCTGCCTTTTTTTTTCCTTACAGGGAAACATGGGACCTGATCTCCCAAGGAAAGCACTGAAATATTTAAAGTTTGTGCAAATGAAGCTGGCTGCTGGTTAATAAATGAAATCCCGGGACTCACCTGGTCGTCCTCGGCGGTCGGGATGGGAAGGGGTTGCTGCGGTCTCACTCAGAGGAGAGAGGCATCAGGCGCGTTCCCCTGAACTTCTGCACCCTCGCTTTTCTTTTATTGTTATTAAGAGGGCTGTGATAGTTTTTCTCTCTATGGAAACGCTTTTCCCCTCCCTCGTGTATATATAAAAAATGAGCGATCACGGGGTTTGAGTCGTAACTCCAGACGTGGAGCCTTCATTTGGGCATGATTTCATTAAAATGAAATCAGAGGGAGATGGCAACGTCATGGGGCTGCGGTGCCTCTCCCCATTCAGAATAAAAAAAGGGGGCGGTGGGGGTGGGGGGTCAGGAAGACGTCTGAACCCGACAGTCTGATGAGAGTCACCCAAAACTGTGTTTGTGACCAACTTTAGGACTCTGCAGGAGCATGCAGACGTGCTTTTTCCTTGCTCCTCCAGGTAGCCAGGCACCTGGTGTAAGGATATTTTAAATGCAAAGGCTTTTATGGCCCTTAAGGATGCCTCTTAGGGTTTTCAGCGTCAATTAACAGTGTTAGCCCAATTAATGTGTTTCCCTTCAAAGAGGGGGGCTGGTGCAGCACCTTGGTAGGGTTTTGTCCCGGGGAAATGCTCATAACCCCATCCGCAGCTGGTACAGACTTGTCCTGCTCACACTGCCCTGCCCTCTGCCTGGTTTTCCATCTGTAGGGTTTTTTCTTGTTTCATGCAGGCATGGAAACCTGTGGCAGATATTGAAATTTTGTGAAAGTTCTTCCAGGATGTGGTAGCACAGTCCCAGGTGCGTCATGGAGGTAGGGATAATGTATATCTGGAAAAAACACCCTCAAACTCCCCAAAGGCACTGAGGTCCAGCAGAATTAACTCAGATTGTCCCAAGACGGAATCCAGGCAGGAAAACTCCCCAGTCTGGGGTGCCAGGACCACACTGGTCCTGGTGTGGTCAGAGAGAGGTCTCCTGCAATGCCCGATGGCACTGCAAGCAGAAGTGCTTTGTGCTACAGAGAGGCTGGGGATGGACATCTCCCTGCTGTAAAATCCGATCTGTGTGGTCCTGGGCTGAGACACCCCAAGGAGTCAGGTCTATGATAAAGGGTCCTTCCAATGGCCACTGCAGATCTGTGTGGTCCCAGGACCCTGGTCAGCCCTGCCTGCTCATCAAAACTCCTCTCTGAAACTTGCTTTGAAATGCCACTGCCACCTTCTTCTAGCAGAGGGTTGGTGTGGTGCTGTTGTCCCTGAAAAAGAACAAATCCTACCAAAAGCAGGGAAAATCTTCTGAGCAACCCCACAATAGGTAACAGCAGCCAGTAGTGACCCTCGATGGGCTCTGAGTTAGGCTGGGAAGATGTTCTCACTACTGGACCACACACACCAGCGATGGTCACGGCTGCTCCGTTGGAGAAAAGGAGTGTGACTGTGGATATTCTTGGATGAGCATCTTTGAGCTTCTCACTGAGCCCCAGAAGATGCTGGCCATTATCTGACAGGCAGCCACTGGTAAGACTGAAAGGTTTCCTTTGGCTTTAAACCTGGGTAGGGCATTTTCCACTTAAACACCTCCAGCTGTTGGCTGAGACACATCAGGATTCATCTCTCTAC